TCTCAACTAGGACTGGGTTTAGATTTCAGATCATAATCCTCTCTACCGGAGGCAGCTTCTGGGTTTAAATCGACTGCGCGCTAAGATGTCAGGCATGAAGAGTAAGGCACATTCTGGGCCCTGGGCTTCGTCAAGAGTCTAATGCCCTTCCCCTCCTCCTCACCCCCCTTTGCAGAGCCCCAGGAAGGAGGAGGCAGAAACCCCGTGAGGTCCTGGCTGGAAGTTCTCTTCTGTGAAGCTAGTATTTCACTAAGAAACTAGTGATGCTGTCCCTTTCTCCACAGGGTATCTTTTGACCCATTTTCAAGATTATTGCTTAAAGGGGACATTCTGCAAATGGGCTCACAGGAGCCCCAGGACCTGCCTGATCGGAGCGGCTCTGAGTCAGGCACTGGATGTCTCAGGACACCTGCTGTGGTTCCTTATCTTTCTCCGGTTGGGAATAAGAAGGTCCGTCACCAGGTTTTCACACAACTGCATAGCAGGACTACTCTTCAAATCGCATGAGAAAATCTGTTTTCAAAATCCAAATAAACAGTTTTCAAAACCTCTCCTGCTCCAACCAACTTAGACCAACCCCCTTATACCTAATTAATTCCCTAATAATATTCGACTCTTTCATCTTGCATATATAATGCCGAAAGTGTTGAGCTTATCTCTGTTAGCCATTTGCCAGGCATCTGTGCACCTTTAGAAACTGCCACTGCGTCCAATCACCTGCTGTCCTTCTCTGGTTTCCTGGGAAACCAACACACATCACTACTTCATATCACACAGGAAACTTAAAAAAGAAAAAAAGGATCCTGCAATATTGCCTTTTTGTCAATAATTCTAACTCACTAGAATACATCCCCATTAAAAAATAATAATGTCATATAAACAATAAACAGAGCAGGCAGAGGGGGGAGGGTGGCATTTGGATTTGGGGCTCTCTCATGGAGGTGATGCCGAGGGCTGAGCAGGAGCCTGGAGACTGGACTTAACATGTTGTGACCCTCTACTCTTAGGCTCCTGTCTCTCCTATCTTTCTGCAGGATGGTCTTCTCCTATCACAGGGGCTCTTGGCCGGGTCTCTGGGCCCTGCCCACTCAGGGCGCACAGCCAGCGCCCAGCTTTGCCACCTAAAAAACCCTGCCCTTCCCCATGCCCTACAGAGTCCCGGGGAGGATTCTGATTGGCTCAGCTTAAATCGCATGCGTGCCCATGAACCAATCATTGTTTAATGAGGGGCAGGCCATTCATCCCGTGGACAAGGACAGACAGAGAAGGATCACTTTCTGAAGTTCATTTGGGAAGGTCAAAGCCCAGACACAAACACTGGGATATCACTGTGAGTCTGACAACCACAGGACTATCTCATGCTGGGGCCTCCTCTCAGCACCCACATCTGTCACAGACCCCTCTCCATTCCATAGGACTTTGAGGTCTGTGCTTGAGAAAACATATAATGATAAAGCTTCTGAGCCATCTCCAATGAGACTGTATAGTTCATCACATAAACAGGCATGTGGGGGTGGGACACATCCCGCATCTGGGCTGGACGTGCCCGTGGAAAGGCTGCCTCCTGCAAGGACGTGGGAGTCCCTTCTAGACCTGCTGCCTCCTGGCGACTGCGAGCTGGGCTTCTCCATGACCCAACAGCAGCAAGAGGAGTGGGCAGGGGTCACGAAACAGGGGAGAAGCAAGTGTTGGACAGGGCCACAGGGGACTCCTGCGTGTGGCCATTTCCTCCGATCAGAGACCTGACCCTTTACACAGCTGTCCTGGAAGGTGTACAACGTGTTTCGAAAGAGGCTTCGTTTCTGCCACCTTTGGCTGTGATACCAGCGCTGGGTCTGGCCTGGCTCCATCCCCGGTCGGTATAACCTGGAGAAGGTCACATGCTTGTGTGGGTCTCAGTCCTTCCAGACACAAAACGAGGAGATTGAATCCAGCTGCTCCTTCTCACGTTCTTGCTCCCATGTATCCCTCGTGCATGGGGCGGCCTCCGAGCACCGGAGGGTACAGTGCAAAGAGGGTGAAAATCTTCAACCTTACATCCAGTCTTCAGCTAACCATGACTCCTGACCCCAGTGTGTGGGACCTGCGGTCCGCATCCTGAGTGTTCTGGGCCTTTCTCAAGAGGGGGCTGCCCCCACCACATCTCCACGTGAGCTCTTTGCTCCTGAACTTGTAAAACTTACAGCCAAGACGGGTGAAGAAGGGACAAACCCAGCTCGGGGGCTGCTAACACAGCTGCCACCTGATCTTTCAGGTGACCTCTGTACTTGTTCCTGTCTATCTCGATGTACACAGAGCTTGGTCTCAAAGCCCCACAAGGCCTCTGGAAAACAGAGGAAGAACAAACCTTAGCTGCTGGAATTACAGGTGTCGCATCTCTTATCTGCAACTCCTAAGGCCAGATCCACTGAAGAACTCCGTGTTTTTGGGGTGTGGGAATGCATGGGACATTAGGTCACGGCAAGATCGGGCAGCATCACGGATCGGGCAGCATCACGGATCAAACCCACCAGCATTCCTGCAGCAAAACCAAACACTGTTCACACTACACATTTTCACATCAGTTCAGCTCAGGGTTAGCTGCCAAACTAGCCCCACGCAGGTCAGGCTTGGGGTGAGTTACAAAAACAGCCTTTGGTTTGCAGAGCACGGTGGGTCTGGGACTGACCGGCGGGGGGTTGTGACACGAAGGAGAGGCTGGAGCGGACGGCCAGTTCCTGGGCGGCTCCCACCCGGCCTGGGACACCAGCAGCATGACTACTCTCTGGGCCTCTTTCTTCATCCCTAAAATAGGAATAAAAATCCCCAGCTCACGGCTGCTGTGCAGTGTCAGAGACTGGATGGGGGTGTCACTCGTTGTGCACAGCGGCTGCTAAAATGCAGGTCGTCCTGGCTCTGTTCCACCATCACTGTCCGCTGGGGGCGGAGCTGGGTGCCGTCCGCGTCCTGGGATGTGTCAGGGAGCCCTTCATCACACCTGCATTTACGCAAACTCCGACTCAGGGAGAAGCAGAGGGACCACAGATGCGCTCTGATTGGGTCGAAACATAAACAGTTTATGTCTCACGTCCTGAGGAGTCCCAGCTCCGTGACTTATTGTTACTTTCCTGTAAACATTCCAGCGAGAGCCAGATTTTCAGTCTGTGTCTGGAAAATCCCAGGAGGCTCCAGCTCCCCATGATGTCCAAAGGGATGTCTGCCCACTTTACCGGCTCACAGGACACAGTGCCGGCTCCTCGGGTGGAGAACAGCATTAGTCCCTGGGTCGAGCTTCTTGGATGTGGGTGACACGGGCCATGTCCTCCCCATCAGATGGGGGAGAGTGGCTCAGGGCACCAAGGGACCCTCTCTGGCTTTCATGAGTCTCTATACAGACGACACATAGGATGGAGGCCAGCAGTCCGCTCTCTCCCCCTTCCCTGCCCTCACTCCAGCCTGACCACCGATCAGAATCCTCCCAGAGCTTCTAAGAAATGCACATTCCAGGGCCCTGCCCCAGACCCTCTCCATCAAGACAGCAGGAGCCACACCCCCTAATCTTCACTCTCTGAAACTTCCCTGGTGATTCTGAGACAGGCTTGGGGGCCTCCTGACACCCTCTGTGGAGAGGGGAAAGGTCAGAGCTCAGGCACTGGAGCCCAGGGAGGAGGCATGCCAGGTGTCAGGGACAGAGCCCTGCCAGGGCATCTTGGAATGGGAGAGGCTTTACCCAGCCAACTGCTCCTGTTCCCTCACCTTGAACTTGAAAGCCTGGACAGGCACATGTTTCTGGACCCATTTTTGGCATCTGAGGTGTCCTCAGCCTCTGCTCCATCCCGGGTGGGGCAGGGAGGAACCCCCTGTGTTTTCAGGGTGTGGGGCATGAGAGAGAGCCTAGCCAGACTGCGGGCTGCACCCTAGCAGGTAGCAGGGCTCCGCAGAGTTCAAGAAGCCCCCAGGGCCACAGAGCACCTCTGGGGCAGGGAAGGGTGGGGCTTCCACTGTCTTGGGAAAACGGCCTCCATCCACTGTCCCAGCTGGCATTGCTTCTAGTGATTTAAAATCAACCCCCAGAAACCAGGTATAGAGACATAGAGACAATGTGGACTAAATGTTCTTCGTGGAAACTTTGGATTTATTCTATAAAAAGAAAGGAAATGAAACCCTCGCAGACTGGCCTTCCCAGGGCGGGCTCTTCTGTACCACTGGCGAGAGCTCAGGTCTCTCTGGGGCCTGGGGAGGCAGGGGCTGGGTACGTCCATGAGAGCTCATGGCTCGCTAGGGCCTCGTTCCTCAGCAGGCTTCCCCCAGAGGTCTTCGTGGAGGTCACAGCACGCGGAATTTGTGTCCCATGGAGGATACCCCTTGCTTCTCTCTTTGTGTGCTCAAGGCGGGCTCCCCGTGCTCTGGGCCAGCCTACACTGGAAGCTTGGGCAAGCCGAGGACCCTGGGCCTTTCCGACTCCCCCCACCACGCAGGGCTTCTGCCCTGTGAGGGCACAGAGCACCCCCTGGAGGCTATGTTGGCCTGTCCTGGAGCAGAAGAACAACGTAGACTCCTCCTGCGACAGGCTCAGATACACGGCGGCTCAGGAGCAGCTGGGACAGCACATGGTCCCTGTGTGAACACAGGGGAGATGCTGAGCTCAGCAGGGGGCGGGGGGGGAGCTGTCAGTCTGGGGAGGTGTGGGTGCTCCTAGTGTGCAGGGTGGGAGTCGGGGGAGGAAGGGGCAGAGGGTGGGAACTGACACAAACCTTTCCCCTTTGGGTTGCTAGTTCTGGTCCTGCCTCCTGGCCACTCCCTGCTTCCAGCTCAGCCCTGCTACATGTAGCCACTCCCCCCCTGTGGCCACCGTCCCTCCGTGGCTGTGCCCCCCTGCTCCATCATGGCTGCCCTTCCCTGTTGCCGTCCTCCCCCTCCCTGAAGGCCACCCCATCCCCTCCCCCCTACTCCCCCCCCCCCCCGCCCCGTGTCTGTCCTTCCTCTCCCATGCGCCTGCTCACATTTCATTGTCCCCCCAGGACACTGACGCCGAGTCCGAGGACGCACCCCCCCAGCACTCCTTCGTCAACCACTACATGAGCGACCCCACCTACTACAACTCGTGGAAGCGGCGGGCCCCGGGCGGCCGTGCCCCGCACAGGTACGAGGCTGTGGCGGGCAGCGAGGCGGGGCCGCACCTGCACACAGTGGTCACCACGCAGAGTGCCGTGTTCGCGCCCACGGGCCCTGGCGCCCGGACTCCACTTACTGGCTTCTCTTCCTTCGTGTGACGGCCCCAGCGGGGCCTCGGCGGACCTCCCAGCCTCCTTTTGTTAAGACAATCAACTCCAATAACTGAGCTCAAGCTTTTGTTTAAAGAGAATTCTGATAAGTGATGATTTTACCTACTTGTGAACACTAGATTTCAATTAGGAAGGTTTTTTTAACGGCTTTTTGTAACATCGCTGCAGGAAGCGGGTTTCTTTGTTTTCTTTTCTTTTTACGAGAAGGTGTATTTCAGTGGTGCAATGGCGGGAAGGCCTCAGACCCCCCAGCCCCCCCCAGCCCCGGGTTTCTCGATCCCGATGCCTGACTAGGGAGGCTGTGGGGGGAGGAAGAGCGGGGATCCAGGGAGCTGTCCGCCCGCATCCAGGGCGCTCCTTCCTCTTCTCTACCTCCTGTGCCTCCGGAGAACCAGTTGCACGCCAGGGTCCCCGTCGGTGACACCGACCAGCTGGGCTCTCGCCGCCTCCTGGGGCCACAGAGTGAAATCTGCCCTGGGCTGGGCCCTTTTCCACCTGACGGCATCCACCTCTGAAATATTCTCCCTCCGCAGTTTCTAGGCAAGGAATCAGCATCCAGGTTCCTGGCAAGGGGGCAAGAGATTGCGAGGTGGGGTCCTCAGACCCGGCGATGACTCCGTTGGTCTCACCCTGTGTCACTGCAGTGGTGAAACACCGGGGCTTTTTCTTCCTTTCTCTCCTTAAACCCAACGGTGCAGAGCAGGAAACCACCCCTGGGGCCGGAAGCCGCCACCCTGGCCCTCACTTAGCGAGCTAGCTCCTTCCCGAGAACACAGCACACGGCCAACCCTGCTAACCCAGAGAGAACCAGACGGCGCTTGCAGAATAATTGCTTGTTGTGTAAGACGTGTGCATTGTTAACCAGAGTATTTTTTAAATCTTTTTATCTTTTTTTAAAATATGTCACATGAAATGAATGAGTCTCTGCTGTCTCCAGGTGCCTTTTTATTAATTGTTTAGCTTTGTACATGAGAAAGACGACAAGCGTCAGTGTCTCCAAATAAAGCAAAACAGCTCTGAGCAAACGAGGCCCCAGCTTGCCTCCTCCTCGCCAGGCCTCCTGCGCAGGTAGGCTCCGGCCTGCTTCCGAGCACTGCCCCCGGGGTCTGCTTGCTCCGCCCACTGCACACTGCCTTGACCACCAGTGCTGCTGCTGTCCCCACCCCCGACCCCAGCCCAGCTTCTAGCCTTAAAGGGTTTTCTGGAAACGTTTTATTTCTTTCCCCCTTTGCTATTGTTTTGTTTTCGTTTTTAGCTACATGAAAATAGCGTGAACTATGTTGAAAAATCAAAAGTCCAAACTGTAGTTGTGGCCCAGCCGTCACATTATTCTTGCAAGAAGGTCTAATGTAGCCGATTCTCCAGGCCAGAGCCTAGGTCCAGGTGTACGCTGTGAGCCGCTAATGCCAGCCCGAGCGTGCCCAGAGCTCGGGGATGGCCCAGTGTCCCCACCTCACCAGGAGGAGTGTGGCCATGACACTGTCCAGCCATTCTGTTGACACCCCCGAGTTCCAGGGGAGCGAGGCAGGTGCCGTTCTCCTAGGTGACCTGCGGTGCCCTGAGGGTGGGGGAGCCCATCTCCGGGCCACGTGGAGAGCTCATGGTGCCTACTCCACTATCTTCCTTCTACACCTCCATGGCAGCCTCTGCTTTCAGAGAGGCTGCCTGTGGCCCCAGGAGACCGAGGAGAGTTTTGTGTCGGGTGAAAAGCCCCTTTTCAGTTTTTCCGAAAACTAGAGGGTATGCAAAGGTTCCTTTCTCTCTCTCTCAATCCCCTCCTTTTCCTTCCCTCCCTTGCTGCCTTCGTTTTTTGAGTGGAGGCAGAAATATTCTAAACCAAAAATCCTAGACGCTCTGCCCAAAGCCACTTGTGTGTGAGAATCACCCACCGCAGTTCACTGGACAGGACGCCCCTCGGGTCCAGAGCCTCCACTCCTTCCTCTCCGCGCCTCCACCACCGGGAAAGGGGGCAGGAAACCCTGAGGCTGCAAGCGGAACTTCTTGGAAGAACTCAGACAAACCCTGCCTCCTGTGCACTTCGCTCTCTAAGCCATATGGACTTTGCTTTAAATAATGGGGGAAAGTGTTAGGACGTGTTGGAATGAGAACGATTTGATTTGAGTTGTGTTCTTTGGTTTGCGGGTTTCTGCTGCGACATGACATTTTTTGGGGGTTCCTTCTCTTCCCTGAGTTTGCTCTACCTTCCCTGAACTTGCTTTTTGTGGAACTGAGGCGCCGCAGGCTGCAGATGGACTGTCAGCATCCACCCTCCGGCTGGGCCCTCTGGAGAGGTTGCACCAGGGGAAGGGAGGTTTCCAGTCTGGTTTCAGCCTCCTCCAGCAGTGCGCGCCTGGACCAATGTCACTTCTCGGCCTCTCACCTTTACGGAGGAAAAACAAAATATCTCACACGAGCAAGCAACATTTCTTTAACCAAGACAAGAGGAAAAGTTCGCCGCTGGTCTTCCTCCTTAGTGACATCATCCAGGTGCTCTCGGCCAGCAGTAGCTGAGCCCCGCCCATGCACGCCCTGGGGTGGGTCCCTGGAGACTGCTCCGACAGGTGAGCAAGAGGAGGGGCCGGGCTCTCTATTGGAGCCGCAGGGCTGGGCATGCACCGGGCTGCCCCTTTCCACTGGGCACCAGCTTTCCCAGACAGGTGAGCGGCGGGGCAGCTGCAGGCAGTCCCCACACCTAGCCGGCGTGAACCACATCAGCGTGGCCTCTCGCACCTCTTCCTGGATAAACAGGCCCACACCGATCCCCTCCTCCCCGAGCCTTCCCCTCCACTGTTCTCACTGTCATACTTTTAAGAAGCACCTGAGAAAATGTCGTAGCAGAGGACGGTGTAGCCTAGGGCAAGGTGGGGACCCATGCCCCCACGAGCACGGGACGAGGCCACACCGCCAGGAGGAAGGGTCGTGCGCACGCTCTGTAAACGTCTTTGGATGCTGGGCTTGTACTTGATCACGACTGGACTGAAGCATGGTGTTTGCGTAATGGATCGTAGCATGGTTTCTAGTTTTTACGAATTCTTGGCACACAGTGTAGTTATTCTCCCAATGAGCAATCCATCCGCGTATCCCAAGCTGGCTGTCCTTAACGCAGCATCCCTGTAGCATGAACAGGGTCGGGAAGGCAGAAACACTGCAGCCATCCGTGAACCAAGCTAGTCCGCGGAGGCACCCCTCATCACCACCCCCAACATCGCCTTCTGGGTTATCCAGAGCTTAGGTCACTCCTGGAGTTTTCCCGACAATGTTTGCTGGAATTGTGCAGAAAACCAGATCTCATTTAGAAAAAAAAAAGAAAAGAAAAAAGAAAAAAAAAAAACTTGTAGGAAGACAGAGAGGTGCTATGGGTACGATTTTTAATAAAAACATCATTTTGTTCCTTATTCGCTTGTGGTTTTCTTCAAGAATCAATGCAATGACTCATGAAGTCTAGGCCTGTAAAGATGAACCCCAGTGCGGGCCTGAACCACACACACAGCCATCCCAGCCCCCACTTCTGGTGAGACGCAGGTGCACACAGACAGCAGGGCTGAGGTCAGAGGGATTTAGGCTCTCCCGGAGAGACAGACATGGGGTGGGGGTGAAGGGGCACCTGGCCATGTAGGGCCACCCCCTGCCGTGCTTTCCAAAGGTTCCACTGCTCTCTACCAAAGTTACCATTGGTTGGCGGGAATGGAGCCCGCAGCAAGGCCTCCCTCCTGAGCCCCCAGAAGAGGCATCTCTCCCCACATCCCCACCTGCGTCCCAGAGTGGCTCTCCATCGAGCGTGGTGCGTTTCAGAATCACTGGGAGCACACGCAAATCCCAGTGCTTTGGGCACACCCAGACCAACAAAGACAGGATCTCTGAGGGCTGGGACAGACATCCGCTTCTCGTTTGAAAAGCAACCCAGGTGATTCCCATGTGCAGGCCGGGCCTGGGGAGAGGCAGGGCTGCTGGCTGCAGGGAGCACAGGGGTCCAGGTCTCAGGGGCACCGGGGCCTGTCCTTCCAATTTTGCCTTCTTGCTCCAGAAGCCAGCTCTGCCATCAACAAGCCAGAGGTAAGAACGTTTTCGTTTTTCTCTTTTTCTCACCTCCATTGACCACCTAATTTCCATCGTCCATAAATAGAACCTTGAAATCTCCACATTTCCAACCGTTCCCAGGATTTGACATTGCACCTGCACGTCCAAGACAGCGTCTGGTTACTGAACACGACCATTTGCCAGGCCGCCTTCTGTGTTCTTTACTTGTGTTAATCCACGAGACTCCCCCAGGCCCTGGGCAGCAGGCACAGTCAGGGCTCCCTGTTTGTAGATGAGAAATCGCCCGGAGAGGTGCAGCCACCTGCCCCGGCGAAGCCAGCTGGCAAGGGGCAGATTGGGCTCCAAACCTAGACGGCTGGGGGCGTGCAGAGCCAGGGTCCTAAGCCACGGCACTGCCTTTTAGGAGGGGTTTTGCTCTCCCCGAGGGCCCGAGATGCAGGGCCTTCAAAAAAGCGGGTGCGTGCCGCCCGGCACCTGGCGCCCGGGAGACACCTGCGTGATTGTGCGCAGGCGCACAGGAGGCGCCCTGTCTGCGCATGCTCGCCTCACGCACGGGGAGAAGACGTGCGCGTTCTCTTGCTCGGGCGGCGCAGAGCTTCCTCAGGACGGCTGTCCTTGTTGAAAAGTTCATGGAAGGCGTTTCCAAACGCGGCATTCGTCGCCAGGAAGAGAAACCCCACCGCCGTGCTGGGTGACAGGTAGGTGGACCGCCCCAGGCGGGAAAAGCGACATGGGTGAGGGCCGCAGCCGGGAAATCTGGCTGCTTGGAGCCTCGGTCCCTGGGGACAGGACTGGCGACAGGGGAGGGGGAGGAGCGGAGTGCGGCGGGCTGGGGGCTTCCTGCGCCCCAAGTCCCGCAGAGCCGGGCCCCAGAGAGCCCAGAGTGCGCCTCCGTGGGCGGGAAGCAGTTGGGGACCTGCTTCCCCACGAGCCAGGCTTCCGCGGAAAGGAACTGAGGCTCTAGCTCCTCCTGTCCTTCACCGAGAGCCCGATCCACAGGATAAAGGGGATCTGGGCACGGCCCTCCACTAAGCGCCTCGAGCAGTGCTGGGCCCCCGGGCCAGACCTGGAGAGGGGAGGTTCGCGCTTTGGCTGCCTTTCCGTGCACACCTGCGCCCCCGCTGTCCCTGCGGCATCGCCTCTCCCCCAGGCCGCACTGTAGAGGCCAGCCTCCCAGGTGACAAGTGCCCAGGCTAGGCTATGGGGAGGGAGTGGTGTGCCTGCCCCCTCCTTGCAGCCTGAGGGTCCAGCAGCAGAAGAGCAAGCTGGAGGCGCCTCTGCCTCTCATTAGGGAGATCACCTTCCTTTGTGCCAGTGTGCAAACTGTTCCTGCCAATGGGGCACGCTCGGGACCTTCCCTCCATGAGTTCCATTTGCGTTAGGTTAGCCTGAGACTGTCCACCTACTTGCAGCGGGAGAACCCTGCTTCTTGCTCCTGGGGGGCTGGGGGAGGACCCCTGTCGCCCTCCGGGGAGCTCTGAGTGGCTGTGGTGCACCAGCTGGAGGGGGCCAGCCTGTGGGGCCAGGAAGGGCCCTCAGGCCTGGGAGTAGCAGCCACTCTGCTCCGTGGGCTCAGGAGAAAGTCTTTGGGGCTGTCTTCAGGGTAACACAAATGGTGGGTCGTTCCAGAAAAGATTTGCGAGCCAAGGCAGGGCCTTGTTTGCAGTAAGCTATGGATGGAAGCCCAAAGTGTGTTTTCTGCAAAATGAGGTATTTTGGGGACAAAAAAGAAATACTCTGTAAAAATCATGAAATGTTTCTAAATGGCCCCGGCCTGGCAGGGCCCCATCTCTGGAGGTCAGGGGACCCTTACCAGCCCTGCCACCACACCTCACCCGACATCTGCCTGCTGGGGAGAGAAGCCAGAGGGCTTGAGCTGGAGATGCGCTGTGGGCCTTGAACTGACTGGGTTGGGGAGTGGCCTTGACCCCGCGCCCTTCACCTTGCTGTGATTTGAGGTAACTCTTCTCAGGCTCTCTTCACCCTG